TATATATATATATATATATATACTTATAGAAATATATAAATGTATAATCTTTCATACAGTTAAAGGGTCATTGACCGAGACCAGTATTTTACTTTCGAGTTTCGATCTTCTATTTTAAAGTAGCAGTGTCCCATATGATCTCTCATAGAACGGTTAATGCCCTTCCCATCCTCTTAAGATATCGCATTATCGTTAAGCAGCTTTCTACACGGTATCTCGTAAACTTTACGCAAGTATAAAACCAGATCGGATTAAAACTTAACAGAGATCTTTCACATAATTGCATTTCGTACACATAATTGAGTAAATGAACGAAGACCTAGAAAACGTACGTCAAATTTATTCTAATAATATTCTTTCTTAGTATATAACTGTCACGTATGATCTCAACAAAATGTATCTTATTTTATACAAACAAATATTAAATTAATCAATTTATCTCATCAGTATTTTTTCGGTTACATCCAATAATTGAATACACGACTTAACAAAATTAGGCTGAGAAGGGGGGGTTACGTGTTTAATAGAAAAATTGATTATACTTTTTAACTAAAATAATCTTAAACTAACTGAACTAACTTATCGCGTATTTTATTATTTCAGATTCGAAAATACAAATACAATTTAACAATGTCTTTAACAAACAATTAATCAAATCGATCATTTATTTTTGTAAAACAACAACGAGATAAGAAATTGCAATGTTTAGAAAAGGTAGGTGGCAATAAAAGAAAAAAAGAAAAAAGAAAAAAGTGCAGAATTAAAGTTAAGCGGATGACTTTTCCTCCCCCTCCACCTCCACCTCCACCTCCTCTTTTACGCGTTCGTATCTCTCTTGCCCTTTTTTATTTTTTCCATTTCTTTTTTCTTGCTTCTTCTTTTCTTTTCTTTTTTCTTTGTCGTATTTTTTCTTCTCCCTTTTCTTTTTTTTTTTTTTGCCGAAGCTCTCTTTCCTCTTGTAAACCGTCTGCAGACGAGCTTGCAGCTTCTGCCGCAAGCACGAGATTGCACTTTCACCATGGAACTCTGCTACGTCGAGGGCCATTCAACGTGACGTTGACTTTGTGCAATATGAGCGCCGGAATAAGAGGCGCGATACGACGGTGAAACTATTTTGTAGGAAGATTCGTTTCGTAGAAATTCAACTAGACAGAGAAACAGAAAATGAGAGAGAGAGAGAGAAGTAGAGAGAAGTAGAGAGAAGTAGAAAGGTAGAAAGTGGTACAAGGATATATGTATATATGTATATTAAATAATATATATATATATATATA